CTCCCCCCCCTCCCCTCCAGCTGGCGGAGGGCGTCACCAGTTACCGGGACGCCTGAGAGATCACCTCCACAGAGAGGAGAGAGGAAGAGGGCAAGTAGACAGGGGGGAGAGAGACAGGGGGAGGGGGGGAGGGGGGGAGGGGGAAGAGGAGCGCTCCCCTCCCCTCCACCTGGTTTCCAACACTTAGGAGGACAGGAGAGGAGACGCACGGGATCGCCCTCTTCCCCAGACCGCTCAGAACCATATAGACTCAGGGAAGAACGACGCGAGAAAGAATACAGCAACAGGCTCGAATTGAATGATCTACGTAGGAACCTCAGCCTGTCCACCGAATTGGATTCAGAAACTTCGGAGAGACTCCTGCGCAGGCACTCAAGAGAGGGGAACCCTCTAGCAGCTAATGGTTTCTCCACCCACTTCAATGCGGCTTTCTCTGGGGATTTTCACCAGTTAGTCCCCTTCGATGAAGGGAGGGTCAATCTCGCTTTCCAATCTCGAGTAGATGATCTGGGACCTGGGGACAGAGGTCTGTCTGCACTTCACCAAGGGGGGACTATCCCACTAAGGCTCACGACGGGCTCGGAATCAGAGAACGATTCACCCATCCAGCATCAGCAGCACTCTGGGTCTAATGGTTCATCAGGGAACTCACCAGAACAGTCTACCAGCAGCCAGGGAAACCCAAACTCATCTTCCCAGAAGAAGGCAAGAACCAGCGAGGGGGCCAAAAACAAGGGGGTTGGTAAGCCTACAACCCGTCCGCTGTTTCAAAATGTAACTTTAGATCCCAACACCGAATCAAGAGTAGCAGCAGCTGGCCCGTCAGGCCTTGCCCACAAGGGAAAGGAAGCAAATGGGCACCCCAGAGGACTGAGGCCCACGTCACTATCCACAGCCAGACCAATGAAAAGCCTGGCCCGCAAAGACAAAGGCAAGCTCGATGAGTACCTGGTCCCCCTGATCTGTGTCTCTTCGGATCAGGGCCCATTGATACTCACCTTTACTCAGCCGTCCGGAGATCTGAGTCTACCGTTCGCTAAATTAGAAGCTCAGCCCACAGAGCTCTCCATCTTAGGAAGTGTGAGGAAAATTGTGAACGTTATTGGCCAGGTTCGGATACTACCTCTGCCCAAGATGGGTAGGCCGGACGCGGAGAACGGGAAGAAAATCGGTCTGTATCCGGTTTTCTACACGCGCACGTCTCAGACGAAATGAGGGAAAGGTTTCAGGCCAAATTCCCATACTGGGTGGCTATATCTGAGTTCACCAAGTCCAACAGCAAGACGCTGCAGTCAATCAAGTTGATGGAGGGCCTCACGGTCGGGGTGGTAGCAGATTGGATCAATGAAGCAGCGCTGTCGGACTTTGTCTTGTCAGATCAGTTTGGAGCTCAACTTAAGACTCCCTGGACTCTTACTGAACTCCCCACCCCGATGGATGATGAGGGCAAAAGAAGGAAGTTACCAGTAGATCACGCACGCCTCATCCAACACCGCGGCGGTTCGGGAAGACCTCCAAATGGTCTTGCCAAACCGCATTAAAGTAGCATGCTGGAATGTACGAGGTCTCGGGAATTCGACCAACACCTTTCACAATGAAAGAATCGCTGCTTGGTGTCACTCTCAGAATGTGCACATACTTTGCGTGCAAGAATCGAAGCTAAGCGCTACCAAGTTAGCCCAGCCCCAGCGGTGGTGGAGTGGCCCGCAATTCTGGGCACCCGCGGACGGGACAAGAGGCGGCACGGGCGTACTGTTCCACAAGAACCTGGATGTGGACATCATTTACAACTTTGCAGACCCACTAGGCAGGTTTGTATGGGTGAAGTTTGCAGTTGGTCAAGAAGACTGGGCGGTCATGTCTATTTACGCTCCGGTGATTTATCGGGACCGCATTCCCTTTTTCGAGAACTTACCTGCCTATATTCCGGACACGGAAAACCTCCTCCTTGCTGCAGATTGGAACACCATCCTCATTCCAGGGCTAGACTCACCGGAAGTTTCAGTAACCAGGCGCGACACACAGCTTCTCACTGAGTTCATATCTACACAAAACTTCACAGATATCTATCGAACCATGTACCTGGAGGATCCAGGGTACACATGGTACGGCCCGCAGGTATCAAACTTCCGCCTGGCCCCTAGAAGACGTTTGGACTTCTTTCTAGCAAGAGGTTCCTTCGGAGAGCGCAGCATTGGGATAGAAACCCAGGTTACAGACATTTCAGATCACTACCCGGTCTTAGCAGAGTTCATAACCAATCCGGAGGTGGACACAAGGAAAGGGACGTTTAGATTTAATGTGTCCCACCTAAAGGACCCCAGCATCATTGTATGGATCAATAGGCAGGTGGGCAGATGGTACAACACCAGAGATCGGTTCGAGGAAGACAGTCAATGGGCTGACATAGGCCTCTCCATAGTGCAAGCTGCCTTGGATGTTTTTTCTCAAATAAAAGCGGGCAACAAAATTATTAAAGAACAGGAGATAAAAAAAAAAAAAA